GAGGTGGAACACCTGGAGAGCTGGTGCAAAGAGAATAACCTTCACATCAATGTGAAGAAGACAAAGGAGATGATTGTGGACTTCAGAAGGAACAAAAACATCTACACCCCCCTGAACATAAGAGGATCTGCGGTGGAAGTGGTCTCCAGCTACAAGTACTTGGGTGTACACATGAATGACAACCTCAGCTGGAGCAACAACACCACCAGCCTGATCAAGAAAGCTCATCAGAGACTCTACTTCCTCAGACGGCTGAGGCGAGCTGGTCTGGGAAGCTCAGTCCTCACCTCCTTCTACAGGTGTGCAGTGGAGAGCATCCTGTGCTCCAGCATCAACGTGTGGCATGGAGGCTGCACAGCTGCAGAAAGAAAAGCTTTGCAGAGAGTGGTGAAGGCTGCACAGAAATCTGTCGGAATCAGCCTCCCCACCATCACAGACATCTACACCTCCAGATGCAGGAAGAGGGCCACCTGCATCATGAAGGACCCCACCCACCCAGCACACACACTTTTTGCCCCACTCCCCTCAGGAAGGAGGTTAAGGAGCATTAAGTGTAGAACCACTAGACTGAGGAACAGCTTCTACCCTGAGGCTGTTAGACTCATGAATCTCTAACTAGAATAATCACTGTGAAAAACCATATCATGTTGCTGCTGATCTGTTTCATGTTGCTGCTGATCTGTTTCAATGTTGCTGCTGATCTGTTTCATGTTGCTGCTGATCTGTTTCATGTTGCTGCTGATCTGTTTTATGTTGCTGCTGATCTGTTTCAATGTTGATGTGTTCATGCGTGCACATCTGCTCACAGACTCATGTTCATGTTTGTGCTGATGTTCAATGTTTTATGTTATGAGTGCTTAGTGTATATTTAGTTGATGTTTTTCTTAGTTCATATCTTAGATGTTATTACTGTTTTTCTTATACATTTTATTGTTGGATGTAACTGGGACCCCGTGTACATAATTTCGCTCCACCACATGTACCACATGAGGTGCGAATGACAAAAAAGAAACTCTGACTCTGACATGCAGCCTGCACAGGTAGGCAGACATGCAGCCTGCACAGGTAGGCAGACATGACAGTCCTGCACAGGTAGGCAGACATGACAGCAGGTGAGCTCAGGTGCGACTCTTCCACACACCGAACCGCTGCGTTAGCATTCATGCTAATGTGCTCAGCTCGACGCAGTACAGGATGTCAGGTACGACACGACACCCCCTCACTGCTCGGACACCACAACATGGACCAAGCTCAAACTTTAACAACAAGACACACTTTAAGTAACAATACAACCAGCAAAGCTGCTTAACAAACGGAACAGCGACGAAGCGCTCGCCATTTATTAGCAACATGCGTTGAAAGGCGAACAAGGCCCGTTTCCAGCGCTCCGTCAAACTGCCAACATTTAATGTCGGTCAGCTACGAACACATCCGACACATCCGACACATCCGACACATCCAACACATCCAACACAGGAGCTGAACTCAGGTCGCGGACATGAAGTATCTACAAGACGCATTTCAAAAACCAGCAGTTTGAACCCAACATTGAGATAAAACGGGACAACGTTCATGTTAGCTTGTGCCATTTACTCCGAGCCAACATGATTCCACTGCCATGGTTAAAAACTACATGATTCCACTGCCATGGTTAAAAACTACATGATTCCACTGCCATGGTTAAAAACTACATGATTCCACTGCCATGGTTAAAAACTACATGATTCCACTGCCATGGTTAAAAACTACATGATTCCACTGCCATGGTTAAAAACTACATGATTCCACTGCCATGGTTAAAAACAACATGATTCCACTGCCATGGTTAAAAACTACATGATGACTGGAGTCTGTTAAACCGTCTTATTATTTAAAATGAGTCTGACGAGTCGTTGCCTGTGGATTTTTCTAACGGTAGTCCGGCTGTTAGCTTACCTTAGCAAGTTCCTGTCGCGTCAAGTGTGTACTATTAGCAGTAATTCATGTCAAACATTTGAGCTGTTACACGGGTACAAGTCGTAAAGTCCTCTTGTGTGACCGGGTGTGTACGCGCAGTGTCCCTCTCACGCCGCTAACACTGAACGGTGTTAGCCAACCACCTGCTAGCGGCGTTTCTCACATTTTAAAAAGAAACTGGACTCTCAGATCCTTCACAGAATTCCACACGGTAATAAATGTATGCTTGTCAAACATACGCGTGTTTTCTGAAACCCTGGGCAGAGCCACAAGCGGCCAGGCTGCCCAGCGGCTCGGCTGGCCCTGGTAGCGGCGGCAGCAGTTGCAGTGAGGCGGCGCACGGCTGCTCCGAGCCGCCTACCATCCAGCCCGAGCGGCCGGACGAAACTTTGGAGAAAATATTCAAATATTATTCTCAGTTCGATGAACCCGTGGGACAAGCGTCCGAATGCCAACCTCGGAGGTAAAGCCACAAACCAGCGCTATGTGGGGCCTCGCCGTTCACTTCCTTACCTTGTGAATTCTTTTCAGAGCCATTGTTGTGCTAGCGCTGGTCGGAGAAAACGTGCGATTAAAATGGCGACTGGTACAACTGAAGATCACAACTCAGATATTCATAAAACACCGTATGTATTCACAGACAACAACTGGTAGCTAGGAAAGTGCACCACCGACACAATTTAGAGGTGAAACTGAACGATAGAAGAGGAAGAACCGCGGCCCTTCCTTCCACTGCGGCGGCTCCCGGATCACTGCGGCCTCCGTCCCGCAGCTTCCGCTCCGGACTCTTCACAATAAAACACGCACGCGCCTCAAAACAACTCTGCGGTGACAACGTTTAAAATAAACTTTAAACCTTTATGTACATTTTACTTTTTGCATTTAATCACGAATATGAATCATGTTTTTATTCTTATTAACCCAAGTCACAAACAAAGCAATCTAACTGTAGAATTCTGTTCAGTCCATTTCAGAACAATCATTTTTAAATAATTCCAATTCAATGCTATTTTTACTTTTATGCATTTTTTAGTTTTAGTACTGTATTGGTATTTTTAGCTCTCAACAACCTGGCTCCATCTTATATTACAGATCTTATTGTTCCATATTTTCCTAACAGAGCACTTCACTCTCAGACTGCAGGTTTACTTGTGGTTCCTAGAGTTTCCAGCAGCAGAATGGGAGGAAGATCTTTCAGTTCTCAGGCTCGTCTCTTGTGGAACCAACTTCCAGTTTCTGTCCATGAGGCTGACACATTGTCCAGTTTGAAGACTTTACTTATTGATAAATCCTATAGTTGGGGTCGGCTTGTCATGCTGTCTTAGACTACTAGAGGACAAACTGACCTAATTTCCTTAAATTAATTGTTAAAATTGAATAGTTTTCATTTGATACTATTTCTATCTTAACATGTGATTCTTGAGCTGCCATTGTGTATCTATTCCTACCAAACCCAGCCGGTCGAAGCAGATGGTCCTCTTGTCCTGATCCTGGTTCTGCTAAAGGTTTCTTCCTCATGAGGGAGTTTTTCTTTCCACTGTCGCCTTCATGCTTGTTCAAGATGAGAGTTCAGTGATGGAGTTAAACTCAAAGCTGCTCCTCAGATAAATAATGTTCAATTATTATTTTATATCTGAATGTTTCTGTTCAGGCCCTGAGACGACTTCTGTTAAGACTTGATGCTATATAAATAAACTGAATAAATAAGTAACAAAACACCATTATATAGAAACTTCCTAAGGAAGTCAACTTATAAGTCTGTTCTTCAGAAAAAGGCCTCAGGCGAAACAAGAATCAGGAAGAGCAGCCAGACAGATAGGTTTGCCTCGGGGGTGTGGGGATTTAAACAAACTCAAAGCTCACGACCAGAAATACATAAAAAGAAGAAGAAGAAAAACGCACAAGTTTTATACAACCACAAGAGGAATTACATCCAAGGACAGTTGAGTCAGCTATACAATCCAAGAAGTTTACCACAGGCTGCGGCAGATTTATTTCTACCTGAACAGTTTGACTTAACCCGCTCTAAATACTGAATATTACAGAACAGTTTCTATTCCCCTTAATGCTCCAAGATGTTTGAAATTTAACTCAATGCTTCTCTTACTAAGGTTTTTTTTGAGGGGGAGTGGGAGAGCAATATCAGTACAGTATATTAAATGAGACAAGTTCTGTAAACATTTGATAAAAAAATAATGTGTAAAAAATATGTTGAGATTTTTGTAATTTTATGAAATGCATTATTTGCAGTTTCTGTGCTTATAAGTACAAAAATAGTGAATACTGATGACAGACTTTCTGTCCATGACGTCTCTTTAAACCTTGTACTTGTGCACGGACAGCCACGGATGACAAGGCTGTACTTAGGCGTGTGTAAATTTATGTTGGGTTTTTCTCCCCAAGGACAAATATCACTTGGACTGTAAAAACAATGTTTGGTTATGACTTCTCAATAAACTGTAACGGGTAGCAAATGGTAGTTGCTAACTAAAATGTATTTTTTCGTGTAGATTTTAAACCTATTTTCTGTCTTGATTATTTTCATCAAACGTTTTAAGTTTGACAAGCATGTTTTAAACTACTAAAAACACGAGTATAAAACAATGTTACTGATTCATTTTCATTTATCATGATTTGCATTTTAGCTTCACCATGCCGTTTTGTTCCCTTTGAACGCGACTGTATTTTATTCTGAAGACCGGAAGTCCTAAACGGAACCTGCATGTGGACGCATCTGTCGCTGCGCCGCGGATCGGAAGCCTTCTGTTGACATGCGCACTCGCTCAGTACGTCGACGTTGTGCTGCAACTGGCTCCCAGTGCGCATGCGTAGAGCTGAATCGCTCCTTCGATGTGCGTGTCGTGTTATTTTTTCATTCAACCTTTATTTCTACAGGTTAATCCCATTGATCCTCGGGACTCATTCACAAGAGACCTGATTTAACAAAGAGTGACGACAACAGTGAAAAACAACGACAACATAGACAGTCACAGAAGAGGCATACAAAATTTAATTCCTTTTTTTATCACATCAAAACAAAATAGCAACCAAAAGGACAGTCAAAAGGAAAAGTTGTGGAAAAAGTTATTAAAATTATTATTTATTATGCGTGAAATAAACTTAGAAGAAAATGTCCTTCAATATTTTTTTGTTCAGTCTTCTGATGTTGTCTTTGTCTTTAGTCTTTATTTTCACAACGGTTGCTAATATGCTAAAACAGCTAAACGTCATCTCTTACACGCTAAACGTAATACAGATTAACACCAGGAGAATCAGCTCGTACATAACATAACATAATATAACAAAACATAATATAACATAACATAACATAATATAACAAAACATAACATAATATAACAAAACATAACATAACATAATATAACATAACATAATATAACAAAACATAACATAATAACCTCAAACTTGATCTGCTTTTGTATATGTAAAAATATATATATACATATATATATATGTACATATATATATATATATGTATATATATGTATATTAGGGGTTGTATATTAGGGGTTGAACAAGTATATAATTTTTAAACTCGACATTAACATAATAAAACCCGAGTAGAACTCAAGTATTTGATGACGTCATAGATCTCAAGATACATTAATTAATTAATTAAACCGCAAAAAAAGGTAATTATTTACAAAAAAAAGACCAACAAAACATTGGGAGCGTATATTATGCTCCTACCATTTATCATACTGCAAATAAGTCACAGGAAAAACTAAACTATTAGTTATTATTATTAAACAGCAAACATGAAGAAACGTGCAGCACGTCAGAAACAAAACTTAAACCGAAACTGGTTCTGGTTTGGTGGATTGGACCCGGTGTTACACCATACTCTGTGACCTGCAACAGTGCAACACCGCCCCCTACGGTCATACGTGGTCACATAATATGACGTCACTACGGATACCCGACTTTACTTTTTTAACCTCGATAGATGTCCTAGCAATCGATGTGTAGATTACTCGAGTACTCTGTTAATGCCCTAATGTATATATGTTGAACATTACTGTTATTGACGCTCTTACTCAAAATGTGTTCTAATACTCCCACCTACTGTTGTATTTTATTTTGTATATTTCTGGTATGTACGTGCGTGACGTCATTATGTCAGGAGAAGAGAAAACGGCGTTCTGTGAGCATGAGCTGTGTGCGTGCAGCACTGAAGGTCTTCGATAAATATGCTGCAAAGAGGCTGAAGAGACCCAGCGACTCACTTGTTTCTGTCTCTGCAACGCCGGCCCCTCTGCGCTACAATCCATTCAACAGGTCATGGGCCCAGGAAGCAGAGAACCGATCAGACAACAGTTTTCTTTTGGGAAGAAGGCCGCACGGATTGAACGGGACTACTGCAAGCTATGCTAAGTTCGTTCGCATTAAGATAAGTGAGTACCCCCCC